GGTAAAATACAAACAGAGATGCTCTAAAAAACATATATTCCCATATGCACCAAACAACAGAGCCCCCAAATATTTGAGGCAAACATTAATATATTGAAGAGAAACACAAATGGTGCTCCAGTACTATTTGGAGGCATCAGCACTCCATTGTCGATAGTGGATGGAACAGCTAGACAGAAAGTCCACAAGGTCATACACGACTTTAACAACCCTGTTAATCAACGACCTAGAACAGACATACAGAGCACACTCCCGCCAACAGCAGAATACACATTCTTCTCAACCCACATGGAACACTCCGTAAGAGAGGCCCTGTTTTAGGCCACAAACAATTCTCAATAAATTTAAAAAGACTGAAATGATACCAAGTATCTTCTCCGACCACAGTTGGTGAAACAGAAATCAATAATAAAAGAAAAACTGGGAAAGTCACAAAGATGTGGAAATTCAATGCTCTTAAACAAGCTTAATGGATCACAGAAGAAATCACAAGGGAATATAGAAAATACGTAGAAGGGCGCCTGGGTGGCTCAGTTGGTTGAGCGACTGCCTTCGGCTCAGGTCATGATCCCAGGGTCCCGGGATCGAGCCCTACATCGGGCTCCCTGCTCTGCGGGGAGCCTGCTTCTCCCTCTCCCACTCCCCCTGCTTGTGTTCCCTCTCTCGCTGTGTCTCTCTCTGTCAAATAAATAAATAAAATCTTTAAAAAAAAAAAAAAAAAAAAAAAAAAAAGAAAATACGTAGAGACAAGTGAAAATGAAAACACAACACACAAAAATTTATGGCTCGCAGCAAAGGCGGTGCTCAGAGGGAAATTTGTAGCAATAAATGTCTATGTTAAAAAAGAAGAAATATCTCAAATTAGTAACCTACCTTTACACTTTAAGGAAGTGGAAAAAGAAGAGCAAACTGAACCAAAGCTAGCAGAAGAAAGGAAATAATAAATATTAGAGATAAATGAAATAGAGAATAGAAAAATAATAGAGAGGGAGCAATTAAAACAAAAGTTGGTTCTTTGAATAGATCAACAAAAATGATAAACTTTTAGCTATAATGACAAAGAAAAAATGAAGGTGAAAATAGTTAAAATAAAAAATTAGTAGTAACATTACTACTAATTATACAGAAATAAAAAGAAATGTAAGAAAATACTATAAACAAGTACATGCCTCCCAAATTATATGACCTAGATGAAATGAACAAATTCTTAGGAAACACAAATTACCAAACTGGTTCAATAAGAAATAGGAAGAAGAAATGGAAAGTTTGAACAGACCTATAAAAAGAAAAGATTGCATCAGTCTGGAAAACCAACCAACCAACCAACCAACCAACCAAAAAACCTCCTAGGAAAGAAAAGTTCAGAACCAGATGCCTTCACTGGTGAATTCTACCAAACATTTCAAGAAGAATTAACACCCATCTTTCCCAAACTATTCCAAAAAATAGAAGAATTTTCCAAAAAATATTTTGGTATCAAAGCAAAATTACAAGCAAAGAAAATATCCCTAAAATCCCTTATATAGATACAAAAACCTTTTACAAAATACTAGCATATCCAGCTTCATATTAAAAGGATTAGATGCCATGAACAAGTGGGGTTTATCACAGGAATGGAAGAGTGGTACAATATACAAAACTCAATCAATGTAATATCCCACATTGATAGAATGAAGTGGACAAACCACACCATCATCTCAATTGATGCAGGAAAAATAGCATTTGCCAAATTCCAACAGCCTTTCATAATTAATACTCAGAAAATTAGGAACAGAAGGGAACCTCTACAACATGATAAAGGTCATATGAAAAATCCCAAAGCTAACCCATACTCAAAAGTATAAAACTGAAAACATTCCCCCTAAGGTAAGGATCGAGGCAAAGACGCCTGCTTTAACCACTTTAATTCAACACAGTACTGGAAGTTCTAGTTAGAGCAATCAGGCAAGAAAAGGAAACAAAAGGCATCCAAGTTGGAAAGGAATAAGTAAAACCTTTTTCCATATGCACGTATGATTCTATTTATAGAAAATGCACAAGTATCCACAGAAAACTACTAGAGTTATTAAAAGAATTCAGCAAAGTTTCAGGGTACAACATCAACACACATAAGTGAGCTGTGTTTCTATAACCGGCAATGAGCAATCAAAAAAGGAAATAGCACCCGCAGAATACCTGGAAATAAACTTAACCAAGAAATGAAAGATTTGTACATGAAAACTACAAACACTTCTGAAACCAATGAAAGACTCAAAAAAGGGAGAGACATCCCAGGTTCGTGGATTGGAAGACTTAATATCGTTAAGATGTCCAAACAATCTTTAAAAAGAACAAAGTTGAAGACTCACACTCCCCAAGTTCAAAACTGTACTATGAAGTTACAGTAATTATAACAGTGTGGTACTGACATAAGGATACACATCTAGACCGCAGAATAGAATTGAGAGTCCAGGAATAAACTCACACAACTATGACCAACCGATTTTTGACAAAGGTGGCAAAACCATTCAAAGAGAAAATAGTCTTGGCAACAAATGGTGCCAGGACAACTGGACGTCCACATGCACAGGTATGAAGTTGGACCTCTACCTCATGCCATAGACAAAAAATAGCTCAAAATGGATCAATGACCTAAATATAAGAGCTGGAACCATAAAACTCTTAGCAAAGAACATAAAGGTTAAGTCTTCATGACCTTGGATTTGGCAATGGATTCTTAGAAATGACACCAAGAACATGAGCAACAAAAGAAAAAAAAAGACAAGCCGGGCTTCTTAGAAATTAAAGACTTAAGTGCATCAAAGACATTATCCACAAAGTGTAAAGACAATCTATAGAATGGGAGAAAATAGTTGTAAATCATAAATCTGATGAGGATTTAGATCCAGAATATATAAAGAACTCCTAAAGTTCAACAACAAAAAAGATAACCCAATTTAAAAATAGGCAAAGTACTTGAACAGATACTTTACCAAAGAAAAGTTACAAATGGCTAACAAGGATATGAAGAGAGGCTCAACATCATGTCATTAGGGAAATGCAAAGCAAAACCACAACGAGGTACCACTTCACAACCACTAGAATGGCTTAAATGTCTTTAAAAATAGAAAACAACATGGGCTAGCAAGGGTGTGGGGAAATCAGAACCCTTGTGCATTGCTTCTGGGACTGTAAATGGTTCTACTTTGGAAGAGATTGGAAGTTCCTCCAAAGTTTAAACATGTAACCACCATATGATCCTGTAATTCCACTCCTAGATATATACTGTACCATGGTCTGAATTATGGCCCTCCAGAATTCGTATGTTGAAGCCCTAATCCTCAGTGTGACTGTATTTGGAGTCAAAGTATTTAGAGAGGTAATTTATGTTAAATGAGGTCATAGGGGTGAGGCCTAATCTGTGTGGTCTTTTAAGAAGGGGAAGAGAAAGAGATCTCTCTCTGTTTGAACACAAAGAAGAGGTCATGTGTGCACTCAGTGAAATGGCAGCTGCCGACAAGCCAAGAAGGGGGGCTTCAGAATGAACCCAACCTTGCTGGCTCCCTGATCTTAGAGTTCCCAGGCTCCAGAACTGTGAGAAATAAATGTCTGTTGTAAGCCACCCATCAGTGGTAATTTGTGATAGCAGCCTGGGCACACTAAGGCACCCAAGAGAACGGAGCACTGGTCTAAGTCCTACTTACCTACTGTAAGTCCATGTACAAGCATGTTTGTAGCAGCACCATTCACATAGCTAAAAGGTAGAAACAGCCCAAATATCCATCAAGGAATGAATGGATAAATAAACTGTGGGATATACATACAATGGAATATTAATCAGTCCTAAAAAGGAATGAAGTATTTAATACGCGGATGAATCTTGAAAACATTACGGTAAGTAAAAGAAGCCAGACACAAAAGGTCACAGTGTAGGATTCCATTTATGTGAAATATCCAGGATATATAAATCCAGACAGAATGCAGATTAGAATCTGCCAGGGGCTGAAGGGAGAGGGTATGGGGGAGAAACTGCTTGATGAGCAAGGGGTTTTACTTCTGAGTGATGGAAATATTCTAGAACTAGACAGGTGATAGTTGCCCAGCATTGCAGTCGTACTAAACGGGACTGCGTCATTTGCTTTAAGATGGTTAATTTTATGTTATGTAAGTTTCACCTCAGTAAAATATTTTAAAAAGATCCAGGGGTGGTGTTTCCTGTATGAGTCAGGATGGAATGAACTTTCAGGAGCAGGTGGATCTGAGCATGTGAGGGTGGGTGGTCATGGCTGCTGCTGGCACCCTGCCCGAGCACTCCTCTCCTGGCTGCTTTGAGAGTTGATGGATAAACCTGCCCTTTCCCCCAGAGAACTGCCCTTGCTAATGCGGGAGCCACTTCGCCTTGGAGGCTAGGTGCCATCACCTCCTCCCCCTCCCACACTTGGCTGACTGCCACAAACAGCCCCCTGGTTCCCAAGTGGGACCAACTCCGTGGGCCAGTTTGTGCTCCGGAGATTCCCTGGGGCAGGGAGACCACACCCTTGCTTAGCTTCTGGCCTCCTGCCCTCTCACTAGGGAACCTGATGCAAAATGGTTATGGAAAACTAATACTGACGGTGAATTTTATGGTATTTGAATGATATCTCCATAAAGCCATTATGTTAAAAAAAAAATACTAGTCATGTACAACACCAAAGGGCTTTTTTGTGTTTTTTTTTTTTGGTAGTTTTTAAAAGCCCACCTCACCAGGGTAACACATTTCTCAAAATCCCAGGTCAAGTAAATCTTTTCAGTTGAAATTGTAAGTATTAGCAATTTAAAGGCAGATACAGTTTGTTCTTGTTTCTTGTTCTTCCCAAATACTCATTCTTTTTAAAACTCTAAATTTTGGGGCATCTGGGTGGCTCAGTTGGTTAAGTGTCTGCCTTTGGCTCAGGTCATGACCTCAGGGGCCTAACCCTAACCCTGCTCAGCAGGGAGACTGCTTCTCCCCCACCCCACCCCACCCCACCCCTTATGCTCTCTCTCTCAAAATCTTAAAAAAAACAAAAACAAAAACAAAAACCACTAAATTCCACTGCAATGGTCTTCATTACAGCAGAGCTGACCGGGCTGCCCTCACATGGCAGATCAAGGCAGCTTCCCTCATTCATCTAGCTGATGATTGCAAGTTATTTTGTGGCTTTTTGCTCAGTGAAATCCAGACCTACAAGCATGCACATACATGAAATGTTTATGTTAATTCAAACTTTACTATAAATATGAAAACAACGGAAATGATGATGCACAAGATGATCATTCAAACACACTAGTGAACCACAAGTCCTGGAAGGAAGTGGGAAAGGCAGCAGGGCGGCCCCTCTCCCTGCCCCACAGGGCAGTACCCACAACAGTCCTCAAAAAAAGGCAGGAAAGCATCATCGGCTGGAACAGGGGCTTTAAAGGGAAGCTCTTCTTAGAATCCAAAGGGGCATGCCTCACGGTACAGCTAAGGGTGGCAGGACTTGTGACCTGTTTCCCTGGGCTTTAATGGTAAACCTGTCCTGTGATAGGAACAGCTGTCTGCTCAAAACCATTTCTGAAAAAAAGTTGGTTGGGACACTAAAGATGAAAAAGAATGGAGGCCCACCCCAAATCTGTAGGGTTGGGAATAGGGGCCATCAGGGATTAGAAATCATTCCCTTGGTGGAAAGACAATGAATAGGCCCTGAGTTCGGTTCTGGGAGAGAAAACACCTCAATTTCCTTTTATTTGAGACACACAAAGCATGTTTCCTGAAGCTCTTCCCTGCTTCCACACAACCTGGGGAGGCTGAGGCTACGATCTCTAATTCTGCTTCAGGGTCTGCTGTGGATCTCTCACACCTGTCAAGGGTGCTTGCTGGTGCAGACCCCATCCCGGTACCTGAGTCCAGGGGAAAGGACAACTGTGGAAGGGTCAGGAGTTGTGGGCCATGGAAGTGGGGCAGGCCAATGGAATGGGTGGGCTTGCAGGAGGTAGACAGGGAGATGGTCTGCAAGAATTTTTCAATTCATAACTGGAGGGTTGCTGAGGGGAGGGTATTCTGAAAGATACCGCCCCCTCCCCAAAGTCCACGAGGAGAGAGGCTTCCTTCTCTGACTCAGGAAGGGGAGGGGCTCTCGATGTTGCCACGCTGCACTCGGTCTGGCACTTCCTCCTCCTTCTGCTCCAAATCAAAGTTCTGTGGACAAGGTTGCAGGTGAGGCCTGGCCCTGGGTCTGCCCCGTGTAGTTCTGATACTTCTAGGGGGCGCATGCACGGTGAGCATGCGTTGCCTGCAAGGGCCAGCAGGAGCCACTCTACTGGGTTATGTTCTGCATCTCTCTGCAGAGAAGCTTTATCCCGTCCAACATTTCCACTTGACCTACCTCAAGCTCCTGCAAAACCTCGTCCATGAAGTCCCGGGAGTTGTGTTTGTAAGACACAGCTAATTGAATCGCATCATTGAAGAGCTGGGGGTAGGTGGAGGTGGCGGGAAGGAAGACATGGCAGTGGGCCCCAGCGCCCTGTCCCCATCCTATGTCCACACAACACTCCACCCCTAAAGTAAGCAAGGTCACCCCTCAATTCACCTTGTCCCAACCAATATATTTTTCCCCACCAAGCCCAGGCCCATCACCTCCCCTACTGTCAAAACAAGCCATGACCCCTTCCTATCACCGCTTGCTCTGGATTGCCCACTCATGGCCCCTGCAGCAAGGCCTGTCCTCTCCCTGCAGCCAACCCTTCTCATTGCGGCTTCCCTGGTCCCTTGACCACTTGGCCTTTCCTAACCTCTGCAGTCCACCATTACCTTCACGACATTGGTACCATCAGCAGCTGAGACAAAGTACAGGGGAAGGGAGAACTTCCTGGCAAAATTGAAGCTCTTTTGGGTCATCTTTATGTCTGCTGTAGAGAGAAGGTAGGACATTGGCCTGTCCATCAAGGGAAAGGGAGAGGGTTTTGCAGAGTGGGTCACTAGAGGCCATTCCAGAAAGTGGGACAGGCAGGGGCAATCAGGGGACATGTCCTAGAAAGAGTTCATTTAACAGGGATCTGTGTCTTGGGAAGAGGAAAGATTGGCTCAGTTCTCTCCTGGAAAGAGATTGACAGCAAGCAAACAAGGGCTGTATTCTGGGAAGGAGGACAGATCACTGAAGGTTTACTGTCCCAGGAATGGAGGAGGAAATGTGTGGTGGTGGGTCCCCCATGGAGTGTGGACACCCAGATGCAGGGATGGCCCCACCATCAATTTTATTGGCCACCACGATGCATGGGATCTCTGGCCTGAACTCCCGAAGCTCTGTATACCAAGTGCTCAGGTTCTTGTAGGTTACTTTCCTCTGCACATCAAACACCTGCAATGAACAGAGGAAGGAAAATAGCTCAGGTGCGTCAGTGTCTGCACACCACCCCCACCTGACACACACAAGCAGGTCAGAGGCCCTGTGCCTGCCCTTCTCAGGGAAGCCCCCAGAACCTCCGGATCCAAAAGTGGCCTTTAAAATGTTTATTCTTTTTTTTGTTATCTTGCCACCTAATCCTGTGTACCCATTTTAACCAAGATGTATATCATTGTACTAACCAACATAGTCTTTTGCAAACTGTAAATTTTTTGGTTTCTTCTTAGTCTATTATTTTTATTGCTTAAACTTTGTCTTGAAATTCCTTTGTGCGATGCCTGGCTGGCTCAGTCGGTTGAGCGTCCGACTCTTGGTTTGGGCTCAGGTCATGATCTTCGGCTCATAAGATCGAACCCCGCATTGGGCTCTGTGCTTAGTGGGGAGTCTGCTTGAGATTCTCTTCCTCTTCCTCTGCCCTTCCCCTCTCCACCGCACACACATGCTCTCTCTTTCTAAAATAAATCAATCTTTCTTAAAAATTCCTTTGTAATAATTTCAAATGCCTCAAAAATTTCCCTGTAGTTACTAATGTGCTTTTTTTTTTTTTAAATAAAGATTGTACTTATTTTAGAGAGAGGGAGAGACAGATAATGCAAGTGGGGGGCGGGGGGAAGAGAGAAACTCAAGCAGACTCCTTGCCGAGCAGAAGCCTGACACGGTGCTCGATCCCATGACCCTGAGATCAGGACCTGAGCTGAAATCAAGATCAAATGCTCAACGGACTCAGGCACCCACTATTGGTGTACTTTTAATTTTAAACTTTTGTTTAATCTCTTGTTCATTTTGTATTTTAAACCTTTTAAGTCATTTTTATCTATTATTATTATTTGGAGGTGGTTTGACATCTTTATTGCCCTGGAGGTGGGGGGCAGGTGCTCAGGAGCTCTTGGTGGAGCGGGCCGGCTTCCTCTTCACCATCACGGGCTTCGGGCTGCGCAGGACGGCGCTGACTCTCCAAGTGGCAGCCGTGCGCAGATCTGGTTGGTACTTGTTCTTGCAGATCATGTGCCTGGTGCTGCTGAGGGTGGCCCGGGCTTCTTGTTGATGGTGGTCTGCATGTAGGAGGTGGCAGGTTTTTACTGGCCGGATCTGTGCTTCACGACCACCACCACTACACCTCTGTCTTCGGCCGCTGGCTCCACACCCACAGTCTTAAGGTGAATCGGACCCTTGAAGGGAAGGAGTTGCGAGCCCTCAGTGCTCTACGTCTGCTTGTTCCTTTTGATCAGGAAGCCGGGGCGGTTCTGTGCGACCGCCCCCTGCAGGTGCATGCACATGGCAGCAGCCCCTCTCACAACAGTGGCCGGAGTTGGAAAGACTACCTTTTATTATTATTTTGTAGCTTGTAATTTGATTAAATTTTACAATTTATAGTTTCTACCTATTTTAAAATATTAGCAATAAGCATGAGCACTGCAGACTTGCTCTAAGGGCAGGGGAGGCCAGAAGTCCTGAGATGCTTGGAATATCTGCTGCAGGGATGGGGCCCCTCAAACCTGTGGCAGGAGCCCCTCAAAGGCCAGCCTCTGGGATGGACTCACAGGCCCAAACTGCCCCAGCACAACAGTGGATCGAGGTGGACAACCCTGTAACTTGCTGGAATGGCTGCTCTTCCTTCTGAACCACCCAGCCCTTCATGGGAGCAAATGGACCTCACCCAGCGCCAGGGGCTTGCCCTGCATGGCAATGGGCGAGGGTCAGCCAGCTGTTACAGCTGAGGCAACAGGAGGTCCACCTGGGAGGCTCCTCCACAGTACACCCAGGCCCCATTTCAACAAATGACCACGTTGTCTTGAATCCCCAATAAAGACTTCTTATAAAGCACACTAATGAATCCTCTGGAATCCACTGGACACCAGGCTGCCTCCCGTGACCGCCATCAGTCACCTCTCATCCATATCTGTCTGGTTTCCTGAGCTACCTCTCCTTGTTTCAAGAGCTGAGGAAGACCTGGCAAGGATGAGGAGCATCCCCGTCAGGGTTTCAAAGTGCAGCTCCCTCTGGGACTCTCAGATCCCCATATGGTCACCACAAGACTGTGTTCTAGACAGCACAGAGGAGAGGGGCTGGTTTGGGAGCAGCACCAGGTGACAGTCGAGGGGGCCTTGGGAGCCTGTCGGAGGAGGTGGCTCCTATCAGGGAAGGACTGTATTTGCCTCTTAGACGCCATGCCTGAATCTGAGGCTCTGGATGTGCTCCACCCCCTGGATGGGGGGTCCTCATCCAGCCCCACTTGAAGAGAAGCTCACCCGAGCATTTTCTACATGCCAGGCCCCATGCAGCAGAGAGCTGCAGACAGGCATGTAGGAATGCTGGCAGGACAGACACCCCCAGGCCTCAGAAGATGGTCCAAATGGAGCCAATGGAGAGGTGTCAGAGGCAGGAGGAGGCTACTCCCAGAGAGAGAGTGCAGGTAAGCTCAGAGCCCCAAAGGCCAGTGCAGAATTGGAACAGACATGGCTGGGCTCTCCCTTCCCACTTCTCCAGGGTCAGAGATGTTGACTATGTGAGCCTCCAGGTGAGACTGCTGGCCTGCACTGCCCCCAGTGCCTTACCCAGTCACCTTCTTGTTCTGTCCTCTTACAGGTACTAATATTACAATTTGGAAAATTTCAAGAGATTTTGTGTCAAGGGATAATGGAGCTTGTGAATGGAGCCAGGGCTCTGGGCAGGAGGCCCCAGTGACACAGATTTGCACGGCCCTCCCGCGCTTCTCTAGCTGTCCCTCAGGTCCTCTTACGGCACTTTTTACCCTGTGGCTATGGGGAGCCCCCTGAAGACTGCGTTGTAGATAGCACAGAGGAGAGGGGCTGGTTTGGGAGCAGCACCAGGTGACAGTCGAGGGGGCCTTGGGAGCCTGTCGGAGGAGGTGGCTCCTATCAGGGAAGGACTGTATTTGCCTCTTAGACGCCATGCCCGAATCTGAGGCCCTGGATGTGCTCCACCCCCTGGATGGGGGTTCCTCATCCAGCCCCACTTGAAGAGAAGCTCACCCGGCCATGTTCTCGCTCAGAAACCTCCCCAGGCTGCCCCGATCCCCTCTCCCCCAGTACCCAGCCTTGGTGAGGAGGGCTCAGCACTACTGGGTCACCCCTCAAGCTTGCCCAGAGCCTTCGTCCACTGCCCAGCTGGTTTCGTACCATGATGCAGGCGTGGGCCTTGTGGTAGTAGGAGGCATGCATGCTCTGGAACCGCTCCTGGCCTGCTGTGTCCCAAAAATCTGCAACATGAACACAACTCTGTCTGTCTGATGCGGCTGGAGGGCAGAGAGACCCGGACACCCTGAGCATCTCTGTGCAGATCTGTGTGTGCAGAAACACAACATGTGGGGAGGACAGGGAGGAACAAAGACCACACAGCTTGTATGTGTGCGTCATCAGGACACAACGCACCTGGGTGTGCCATGGGAAGTCTGTGTACGTGTGTGTGCATGGGAGTGGGTAAGAGGGAAACACATGGCCAGGCCAGGAGGAAGGAGAATGCAGACAGGAAGTCCCAAAAGGGAGAAGGTAGGTTTCCCCATTCCCCCACCCACAAGATGCAGGGCCCTCCAAGGTTGAAACTAGGCTGACTTCCCACGTGTGTTGACCACAGATGGCAGACACTGCCAGGCAGGATGTGTGGCCTAGCCAAGCAGGAGGTAGTGACATCACAGAAAGTCAAAACCTTTTGTAGAAGATAACACTCAGACCACAATTGTTATTTCTTTACGCTGGCTAAATTAGAATACCAGGTCAGAGAGCTGGAACTGAGGCCTTGTGCGCCTCCTCCCCGCTCCCCTGGGCTCCGGGCTCCCAGGCTCCTTCCTATCACCCCTACTCTCTGCTGGGGGTCTCCCTTCCTTCCTGTCTGACTCTCTCTCATGGACTTCTCTCCCCTCCCCTCTCCTCCCCCTTGAGAGTCCATGGCCCGGCCTTGTGCTGCTCACCCACAAGGACAGTCTTGCCATCCACCGTGGCCGTGTGCTTGTACAGGGTCAGGGCGTACGTGGACAGCTGCTGTGGCCGACTGCATTCAGGTTAAGGAACAGAGATGAACAAAAGGAAGGCAGGGAAGGTGCGTGGGGTGGGGGCACTGGTGATGAAACTGGCCCTCTCTTTTTCTTTCTGGAGTTCTTCTTATTTTAAATGGAATGAATGTTGCAGAGGATCAGCTTCAAAGATCACTGGCACAGACTCCACGGAAAGGCGAGAGGCAGGAGAAGCTGGGGTGTGTTTTGGACCTCTAAGTACCAGGGGCAACACGGAATGGAATTTTACAGAGAAGCCATCATCAACAGCCTCATGTAGTTGGAAAATGCAACCGTGGGTGTCCCAGTCCCTTTATGGATGGGGCTCTTGCAGGCCAGAGAGGAAACCCGGCCTTAAGCAGCACGTGACAATTCCAGGGAAAAAAGCCTCCAGAAGCCAGACAGCTGACAAGCTGTTTATGAACTGCCTGTGTGTGAAACCCTGACAAAAAGCCTGGGAAATGAGACTTCCTGAAGCCGCAAGGTGCGGAGAGCTTTAACCAGCAAGGGGAGGGAAGGGGGTGGGGGGAGGCAGGCGGGTGGGTGTGAAGGAGCACATGGTATGAGGTGAAGCAAGATATACTCAGACTCCACTTTGCGGGGCGGCAGGGCAAGGCCCTGAGCATCTCTGTGCAGGGCAGGGAGTGGTGTCACTCCAGGGCTCTTTTCTGCCATGGTTCTCCGTAGATTCACCCGGGAAGCTTTTTTAAAACCATCCCGGTTGCCAGGGAGTGTCTCACTCCAAACCTAGACAACATGGACAATCCATGGGAGGAGGGAGTGGGTCCTGTTTTACAAAGTTCGTTCATACCAGAGAACTGTAAAATGTTAGCCAAAGTTTTGAGGTCACAGAGGTTGCCAGAGCTAGTAAGAAGGAGGAGGTGGAGTTTGAATCCAGGCATAGGACCAGGTGCTATTAGCCATTCCACTGTCTTCCTGATAGAAAGCAAATGCAAATATGAGTAAGCTCCAAAATATGCAGCATCGATGATGTGTGCTGCCAGCTGGTAAGAAACAAGCATGAATGAAACCTGTGTGTTCACTCATCTATCCCTCCTCCCTGGACCACTGGAGTAAAGGGGTGAGCAGTGAGGTTGAGTTGGTATGAGGGGGGAAGGACCACAGGAACACAGAATACCGCAAACCTTGAAGGATACAATCCGTCCATGAGAAACCTCTCCATAAGTCTGTAAGGACAGTGTGCAAGGTGGTCAGGTACATCCTCTAACCTCCCCTCCTCCTTGCCCCACGGCATCACCCCTGTCCAGGCTGATAACCTAGGGCCACCTGTGGCTCCTCTCCCCCATTCACTCCACAGCCACAGAGTTTCCTTTTAGGATAATGCCCAGGAACTGCCCACCTACCCTCTTCCTGACTCCCTTTAAGTTCCTGGCACCCCAGAGCTCTAACACTGATCCAGCCCCCACAGCCGCTTTGCCTGAGGGCAGGGACTCCACCTTACTCCTTTTTGGACACTGTAACAGCTGGTCACTAATATTAGTTGAAGAAATAGAGACCTGTCTTTGGAGCTCTGCCATATATCTACACTGGAGAAGTCTGTGTGAACCATAAACTCAATAAATCTAAAAGTGAGTTTCTTTAACCCACTAACCCTGTCCCTACCCCTGAATTATCTAGTTAGTGGCATTACCCCATTCTCCAAGCCTGGAACCTGGAATCAGAATTACTAGCCCCTCATAACAAAACAGCCTGCGTTACTACACCTGTATATAGCAGTCCATGGGAGGCTCTCAGACCCACTGTTTCTGCCTCTGCATAGTGCTGACGAACACAATCACCCCTGCCTCTTCACGGAAAACTGATGCCAGGAAGGCTGTGCCTTTTGCCCAAATACCATTTCCCTAATATTCTGCAGGTCCTTTAGGGCTTTGCTCAAATGTCACCTGAGCAATGAGACCTTCCCTGATGATCTTATTTGTAACAGGCAAGTCCTGCCTCATCTTGTACTCTATCTCTACCTGAGGGCAATCACAACAGAAATAGTATTTTACTTATTGACAGTCTATTCCTCTCAACTAGAATGCGATGCCCATGAAAGCAGTTTATGGAATTTTAGTTTATTGCTGCCTAGGACAAAAAACATTTGGACTATAACCACCATGCAAACACCAGAAAAACTGTAGCCTTAGTGGGGAGCTTAGACTTCTACTTCAACAACATGACCAAGCTGCACTGGGGTCAAAGGAGGCCAAACAGGGAGCTGGAACTTTCTGTCTACCAGACGGCAGTGAGACCCCTGCCCCACTGCATGGTGCCAGTGGAGGCCCCAAGTGCTGCCTCTCTCCCTTCTGCTGGAGCAATGCCACAGGAAGCCAGCTAAAACAGAAGGGTCAAATAAGATCCAGAGTCTCATAACAGGATAGTCAAAATGTCCAAGTGTCAACCAAAAATCATTTACTGTATTAAGAATGAGGAAGATCTCAAAATGAATGAAAAAAGACAACCAATAGAAGTTTTTAAAGCAGCTGTCATAAGTGAGCAAGTATAGAGTGCCTGAGCGGCACAGTCGGGCCGACTCTTGGTTTTGGCTCGGGTTGTGATCTCAGGGTCCTGACATCAAGCCCTGCACCGGGCTCTGTGCTTAGCACTCCGCGCAGAGTCTGCTTGGAGTTTCTCTCTTCCTCTCTCTCTGCCCCGCCCCGTGTACACATGCTAATAAATAAATACATAAATCTTTTAAAAAAATAAAGAAATGAACAACTACAATGTGCTTAAAATAAATGAAAATACAGAAAATTTCAATAATGGGCCAATTCCTAAGACCACAAATAAGCAAAACTAACCTAATATGAAACAGATCATTTGAATAGTCCTAGAACTATAAATCTCTAAGCCCAGATGGTTTCAGGGTAGAATTCTACCAAACAGTGTAAGAATTAATATCAATTTTGTACAATGTCTTCCAGAGAAGAGAAGAGGAGGGAATTCATTTTATGAAGTCAGTTTATCCTGATACCAAAACCTATCAAAGACAGTACAGAAAAAGAAAAACAACTCTACAGACCAATATCCTTAATGAATGTAGACACACAGCATTTACAACATATTAGCAAATAGAACGTGGGAACGTATAACAGAAGTTGTATACCATGACCAAGTATGATTTATTTTAGGGGTGCAAGGCTAGTTCAATATTTGAAAATCAATCAATGTAGATTACCCTATTAACTGGCTAAAGAAGAAAAATCAAAGGATCATTGTCAATCAATGGAGAAAATACATCTGAAAAATATAACACCCATTCACGATAAAACAAACAAACAAACAAACCAACAGGAATAGAGGGAAACTAGTACACTGAAAAGTACCAAATACTGTGAAAAATACTAAAGAAGATCTGAATAAATGGAGAGACATACCATGTTTATGGACTGGAAAACTCAATATAAAAATGATGTCGATTCTCCTAAAAGTTATATAGAGGCTTAATGCAATGCCTAGTAAAATTCCAGCAAGATGTTTTACAGGTATTGTCGAGATTATGAAAAATTTATATAGACAGGCAAAGGAATTAGAAAAGCCAGGGCGCGTGGGTGGCTCAGTTGATTAAGCGACTGCCTTCAGCTCAGGTCATGATCCTGGAGTCCCAGGATCGAGTCCCGCATCGGGATCCCTGCTCGGCAGGGAGTCTGCTTCTCCCTCTGACCCTCCTCCCTCTCATGCTCTCTGTCTCTTATTGTCTCTCTCGCAAATAAATAAAATCTTAAAAAAAAAGAAAAGCCAAAACAAACTTGAAAAGAATAAAGTGGGAAGAATCATTCTACCCAATTTTAAGACTTACTTTGGCTCCCTTAGTCAAGACTGTGTGGTGCTCGCAGAGGGACAGACACATAGACAAACGGAACAAAAGAAAGAATCCAGAAACAGCTTCACAGAAGTAGGGCCAACTGATTTTTAACAAAGGTGCAAAAGCAATTCAATGGAGGAATGACAGCCTTTTCAACAAATGATGCCAACGGAATATCTTTAAGGAAAAAAATAACCCTTTACCCTACACCCTCATACCTTAAACAAAAGTTAGTTCAAAACTGATCACAGACTTAAGTATAAAATGTAAAAATATAAAACTTTTAGAAGAAAATATAGGAAAAAGATGCTTTGGAGCCAGAGCTTGGCAAAGACCAGAGTCCATGATTTTGGTAACACCAAAGGCATGATCCGTAAAAGAAACAAGTGGCAAACTGGACTTCATGGAAAGTAAAACCTTCTGCTTTATGAGAAAGCCTGCTGTGACAGTGGGAAGACAAGCTCTAGATGGGAAGACCATGTCTGCAAAGAGCACATCGAACAAAGGCCAGTTCCTGGGAAAGTAAAGAATTACCAAAACTCTACAGTTAAAAAAAAACTCATTTAGAAAATGCGCAAAAGACATGAAGAGACATTTAACCAAAGAGGAATGTACACATGGCAAATAAGCCCAGGAGAAGGTGTTCCACGCCACCAAGCACCAGGGAAATAGAAACTGAGACCACGATGAGCTATCATTACACGCCTGTCACAATGGCCAGGATAAAAAATAGCAACAACACTAAATGTTGGCAAGGGTGTAGGAAAACCACGTCTTTCATACATTGCTAGTGGGAAAACAGACATTCTAGAAAAAATCTGAGTTTCTTAACAAATGAAACATATACTCACTGTATGATTAAGCCATGAAATGAAAACTCATGTCCATACAAAAACCTACACACGTGTTCACAGCAGTGTCATGTGTAATAGCCAAGACCCAGAATCAACCGAAATGTCACTTAACAGGTGACTGGAACAGTCTAGAAAACCATACTGTGGCTGTCTACACCATGGAATACTACTCAGCAACAAAAAGGAACAAAGTATTGATAGTGCCACAACCTGGATGGGTCTTAAGGTTACTACTCTGTGGAGTGAAAAAGGTCACAGGTTGTATAATTCCATTTATACAATGTTGCCAAGATGACATGATTACAGAGATGCAGAACAGATTGGTGGTTAGAGGGGTCAGTGGTGGTGGGAAGTGAGGTGGGGTGGGTGTGACTAGAAACGGGTAACTAGAAACGGGTAACATGACCAAAGTTTTGTATCTTGATGCCAATGATGGTTACAGAAACCTGCACATGTGATAAAATGACACAGAATTATACATGCACTAATAAGCCAATGCCAATGTCCTGACCTTGATGTTGTTCTATAGTTACCTAAGATATTATCACTGGAGCAGCTGGTGAAGGGTGCACAAGCCCTCTCTGTACTCTCTTTGCAACATCCTGTGAAATCTGTGTTATTTCAAAATGAAAAGTTAAGAAAAAAAAAAAGCAAGCCAAAACCACACAGATGGGGAGAAGATATATGCAATGCCAACAACTGACAAGAATTAATATACAGAAAATATAAACGGCTCTGATAAGAGAACACACAAACAACCTGTGTACTAACAATATGAACAGATGAATGGATAACAAATATATAAAAAGATGCTCAGTGTTTTAATTTAATGATTTAATCATTTTATTACAAATTAAAACAGAATGAAATAGCATTCACAGCCCTATAGACTGGCAAAATTCAGACACCAAACACTGGGGATTTTGTGGAGCAACAGAAACTCTTATACCATCCTGGCAGGAGTGCACACGTAACATAACTATTTTGGAGAGCAATATGGGCATCTTAAAGTTTGAGCTAATCCTAAAACTAGGCAATTTCCTCACAGGCCTAAATGTGTACCCAAGATGGTAGGCACAAAAATATTCACTGTGGTATCATGTTTAATATCATAAAAATGATAACATCATAAATGTTCTCAAAAGAATAGACAAGTAATTTTAGTATCAACTAGTTAAATTTACTGAGTGCTTACCACGTGCGAGACACTATGCTAGGTGCCATGACATAACACTGAACTAAACAGATGAAGATCCCTGTCTTCATGGAGCTTACATTGTAGCAGATGAAGACAGACACTAAATAAGCCCTTAAAATATATGCTGCTACACGTGTGGTCATGGCATTTAGAACAAAGGCATCACTATGATTCAATGGGGTCGAGAACTGTTCCATCAATTAATGGTGTCTAAGCAATTGAATATGCTTGGGAAAAAAATGAACCTTGAGGCTGTTAACCAAATGGTGGAGTAGGAAGTTCTAGGGGGTGAACCCCCAACTGAGATATCCAGTAAACTGGAAAAAT